GGCGTGTATCTAAGGAGCACCTTAACGAGGCGTGTATCTAAGTAGCACCTTAACGAGGCGTGTATCTAAGGAGCACCTTAACGAGGCGTGTATCTATGAAGCACCTTAACGAGGCGTGTATCTAAGGAGCACCTTAACGAGGCGTGTATCTAAGGAGCACCTTAATGAGGCGTGTATCTAAGCAGCACCTTAACGGGACGTGTATCTAAGGAGCACCTTAACGAGACGCGTACAAACCTTAATGCTATGCGCACTAACAGCTTAATAAGATGCGTACTTTAATGAGATGCGCAGCATATAGCTGCAGCAGGGCGGACAGCCGCAGGTATGAGGGATGCAGCAGGGATGGCAGCAGGTATAGCAGGGTGATAATCACCCCGCTGTGTACGATCACCACCTCGCTGGTCCCCCCGCCTCCCAGACTCAGACCCCCCACCGCAGGACGCTTGCTTCTGTCCTTACAGGAGCTCGAGGATGTGTAGGACTCTGCGTCCTGCCGTGTAACATCGGTAATATGGTAAAATTCATGTATTCATCAAATGATGTATGAATGCATGCTTGTGATACACTAAAATACAGAGAAATGTATACTTTTCATGTATCAGGACGCTTGCTTCTGTCTTTAGAAGTTGCAGGATGCGTAGGACTCTGCATCCTGCTGTGTACAAGCCTCAGTTATACGGGAAATTTCATGTATTCATAGAATGATGTGTGAATGCATGCTAGTGATACACTAAAATACAAGAAGAATGTATACTTTAGGTGTAAGAAATGATAGAAAGCCCTTGCTAGTTACGCATAAACATGTCCTTAGAGGAGCTCCAGGATGCGTGGGACTCTGCATCCTGCCGTGTACAAGCCTCGGTAATTTGGTAACATTCATGTATTCATCAAATAATGTATGAATGCATGCTTGTGATACAGGAAAATATGGAAAAATGTATACTTTTCATGCTTGATAACATAAAAAAGTGGTACTGGTAACGCATAAACATATGAAATAAACAGATCTGTGATACATATAAAATAACAAAAATTATTTTTTGTGATTTATAAATAATATGAGAAATTAATATTTTTATCCATACAAATATAAGAAATTCACATTTGCGTGGTCACATGAGGTCTGAAATGTAAATTAGGGGAACATATATCAGCTTTAAGGTGATTTTTTTACACATCTTCATAATGGACTTCACAGAAGCAAAAATGAAGAGCAACTCAGAGGGACGAAATTTACCGTACTTTTCCTCATTGAACTATCATTTAGAAAATGTCTTCATGGCAACAAGGGTCCTGACTCGGGCCAGAGGCACAGGGCCCCGGTGGGTGGCCTCATCGTTGCAGTTGAAGGCCTCAATGCTGCGGCAGTTCAGCGGGTCACCCAGACGCAGGAACGATCTGTTCACACTGCGATCTTAGCACGTGGTACTAGTATTATATTATCGTAGTATTATTGTTATACTATGATTTATATGTATTTTGCTAAATATACATATAATAATATAATTTATATGTATTATGCTAAATATACATATAATAATATAATTTATATGTATTATGCTAAATATACATATAATACTATAATTTATATGTATTACCCTATGCTATGTATACATAGTATACTATAATTTTATACGTATTATACTAAATATACATAATATACTATAATTAATATGTATTACCCTATGCTATATATACATATTATAGTTTATACTATAATTTTATATGTATTATACTAAACCTGTTGACATGACAAATTGAGCTTTGTAACATGAGATACAAAACAACAAGCAGAATTGTTGCAAGAGTGACACAATTCATATTTATCCATATTTCCTGATTTTAAGCAAAGATAAGACAAATAAATTAACAGTAGTTTTGTCAAACAATTTCTGAACTGCAACCAACTGCCTCAACAACCTCTGCTTCAACATCAATTCAACAAAATATTGAAGCCTTCAATTTATCTTGATTAGACGATGGAGTAGCGGATGGAGGTGTATTATATAGGCATTTTCCTTTGAACCTTTAGTAAAACTACAAAATAATATTTTTGTTCTTCTCGTATGATAAAAAAAAATTATAGTTAACAAATTTAGTGCCATCAAGTGAACATTCTTTTAAACTTTTAGTTGAAACTACAGAACAATTTTTTTGTTCTTCTTCTATATAAAAAAAAATTTTAGTTAAAATATTTAGTGTCACTAATAAAATACAAATGTATAATAAAAAAATTTTTAGTTAACAAATGTAGTGGCATCAATAAAATACAAAGGTACAATAAAAAAATGTTTTTAGTTAAAATATTTCGTGACACTAATAGAATACAAAGGTAAAATAAAAAATGTTTAGTTAAAAATGTAGAGGCAACAATAAAACACAGACCTGAGTTCAGGAGGGGTGATGCAGTGGGCGGCAAGTCTCTCGTAGATGTAGTGCAGGAGAGGATGTAGGGGATGGTGCTCCTGCATCAGCACCACCGCCCCCCAGTCCCCCAGCACCCGGCACAGTCCCCCCACACACATCACCTGCTGGTTGCGCTCACTACGCACCAGCGACTGCACAACAGTAATAATATGTACTGGGTACTATCTACTCTGTACTCCTGTACAATGTACTGTTTCAAAACATCCATAAAATTAACTCAATACATATGAATACTACTCTAATGAGGCCAGCACACTCTCCTTACGAGGCGTGTATCTAAGGAGCACCTTAACGAGACGTGTACAAACCTTAATGCTATGCGCATTAACAGCTTAATAAGAAGCGTACTTTAATGAGATGTGCAGCATATAGCTGCAGCAGGGCGGACAGCCGCAGGTATGAGGGATGCAGCAGGGATGGCAGCAGGTATAGCAGGG